CTGTAGCAGCTACGACTCTACCCTTTCAGGTAAGTAGCAGCTACGACTTTGACCCTTCAGACAGTCTACAGCTACGACCTCTGGACTGTCTAGACTCCTACCCGACAGATCTACAGTTCAAATCCCCTATACCATGTAACCTACGAGATCCTACCTACCACTGGCGGCCCTACAGGTCACAGGTTCAAATCTATAGGTTGACACAGGTATTGTACACAGGTAAGGTGGGGAACTAGGGATCGAGCCCTGGGATCTGCATCAGATACTGCAAACTGGTGAATACCGTTTCAATTTCTTAGGACCGGGCTAAAATTCCACAATAGTAAGCGGAAAAGATAAGAAAAAGCAATCTCGGATTGGGGAAGAGACGCCAGGAGCCATTGGCGCTTTGAAGAAAAATGAGGTATGTTGTGGTGGAACAGCGCATGGCCCTCGGGAGCTGGGTATTTTGTCGAAGGGGGGACTCAAGGGCAAACGCTGTGGTTTGTTTGAATTCAACAATAACAGTGGAGTTGGAAGTGGGCGTTGGGGTGAGAGGTGGCTGTCTCTCACGGGCCTGGGCGCTGGCTTGTTTGGCGGTGGAACGCGGGGCGAATCCCTTGAGGCGGGTGCCAGTGAAAGGAAGGGCGGAAGGGTGTGATGTTGGTGGTCAGTCTCGGTGGCTGAGCTCTTTTCCCCAGTCCCTCTCCACCCCATACCCGCCTTTCTGTCCTTTGCTGGCTGCTGCACAGCTTTGCTCGCTGCTCGTTGTATTCTGCGCCTATGTCTTCCCTACTCCTGCCCATTACTACTTTCCAGTCTTTATGTTTGCTGTGCCACGTGTTGCATGTGTTTGAACTTTGAACTCCCCGAACATACCCTGTTTCGACCTGTGTGCATGTTGTTTTGCAGCTGACTCGCAGAGATGTCCCGTGGGCCCAAAAGGGCTCCTTGCCTGTAGGTACAGCACCGGGACTTCCCAGGAGGTCACCCATCCCAGAACTATTCCGGCCCAACGGCGAACAGTGCTTGGCTTCCGAGTTCGGATGGGATCGGGCGCTTTAGCCGTGGTATGAACGTACCATGGAGAGGGGTGACACTGGCTTCCCCCGAATGAACAGGAACACATCGGCGCCAATTGGGCGATGGCCCGATCGAGCCTGCTGCTCGGTGGAACGGAGCAAATGCATTGGAGAGCTTCTGGGAAATTTGTCACCCATCGGGAACGAAACGAGTGGTTACTGGGAACGCTGAAGGATGAGACAACAGTCGCCGCAAAGGCGCGCCAGATACATGATACATGACGGTATGCGACGCAGCACGGATGATGGAGCAGAGCCCTTGGGGAGTAACGACGGTCCTTGGTTCCGACCGCTTGTTCCCCGGCGGAACGCAGGGCAATAGCTTTGCGTGGTGAACACTGCGAACGGACTAGGAGCAGTTGTCATGGGGAGAAGGTGTTTTGTGGGGTTTCCCTGATGCCGAGTGCTCGACGTCTATTTGCAGGGGGAGCAGGGTGGTGCCTTAGCTGCCGAAGCAAGGGCGAACGGATGCGAAATCGTCCGCAGGCCGACGGCGAAGACTCCCCCTTCGGTAAGAAAATAAGCTTGAGGGTAAGACCCCCTCTCCCTACCTAAGCGTTAGCAGCGGCAGGTGCTGTTTGTGCTAGTATATGCTGTGCTGATTGGTGTGATGTGGTGTGGTTCACAGATCAGCAGAGTTAGAATCCAGGTAGTGGATACAACCCCTCCCCCCCCCCC